ATTTTAAGTTAACATCACATTGAAAGTCAAAACTTACCAGATTCATTCCTGCGATCATGAGAAAAAGGAGCGATTCCTTCTGCTGTGTGCTGCGACGCCAACTCAGCATAGTGCAGGTGACACATAGGCTGCTTTGCTGATGTCCAAGTCAGGTCTCCTCCAGGCCGATCTTCCTGCGACAAACCAAAGACACAATTTTATAGTCGAAGAAACAGGATGGAAAAGAGGCAGGAAGCACGCACTTTCGACAGAGGAGGTCAAAGGCGACTCTGCTAGACCGATTCCAATCATTTCCAGCGATTTTTATTTTTTTTCATTTTTGGCCAAATTTACGAAGGCTATAGCCTTCCCATTTTTAGCAAAAAGGGGTGGGGCCGGATTTCGACGGAAAAGTAGTCGAACCGACAGGGGTGAACCAGGAAACCACAAAACTACTTTTGTTTCCGCCAGAAACCACCCGTGTCCAGACACGCTTGAGTTTTAAGAGGAGGTCTTTTGAATCTGGCGGGTAGCGTACGACGAGCTGCCTACCTCGCAGGCGAACCGGTCCAAGAAAAACAGGCGCAACTCACTTGCGGCGCAAAATTTCGACATTTCGACCATTTCCAGCGATTTTCAATTTTTTTCATTTTTGGCAAAATTTACAAAGGCTATAAATCGATGGGTCCACAGAAACTTGAGCTGGTCTCTCTAACTAAGGGCGGGTAGGCTACCTAAGCAAACTGGCTAAGAACTCTGCTGTAGTGGGTCGGCATCATGATATTTAGACAGAGCATGTGAAAAGGGAGTCTGCCCCACCAATCCAAACCAATTCCAGCAATTTTCCAAATTGCCAAGATTTTTAACAAACCAGCCTGGATTTTGACAGAGGAGGATTGAAATCGACAACAAAGAACTAAGGCACCATAAAAAAATCAAGAATCACCCTTTGATGCCCATGAAAGGAAGCTCCTCATAGTGTCTGTACAGAGACAAATTGGACCAGCGTTGGCCGTTACTGTCATGTCAACTCACCTATTCTTTTGGGTAAAATGACTCCATAGACTTCTCTTGCTCATGTCAAGAACATTTCTGCGCCGAGTTCCTGCAATCATATTAAACGGTACTTTGAGCACTAATCAACTGTTAATTACATATAATTTACTCATGCAATGCACTTTTAAATGCCTCTCCCCCCATGCGTCTCTAAATGACCATGGTCTTTCAAATAACTAATTTTGGCACTGGATTGAACATTAAGTGCGAAGGGGCAGCTGCAAATTATCTGCAACGCACATTGATTGATTGTTTGGGGGATTACGCAAATAGTACCACTCGGTTTGCACCCCAATCAGAAAGTAATAAAGTTTTCTGTTCAACGAGAATAAAATAGAGTAAAATATGTGATATGTGATAAAACACTGGCAGGTTCACCCATTTGCATAAGGACCTACAACAGT